AAATGAATTCTATAATAATTATGCAATCAAGAATAGGTAAAGAAGTGTGTAAGACATAATGCATCTAAGTCTTTAAAATTTAGGGCATCTTACATTCAGCCAAACCACGAGAGTCACCACCCAGAGGATAAAAGTCAACATCAGCAGACTTCACAAAGTTTCTGAAATTAGTATGAGTGGCAAGCCTAACACGATGGCCAAATTCCTGCAAGCAAGCTCAGAGAATTATACAGAGTTAACAAAAAAAGGAAAGAAAAAAAAAACAAGAAGAAGAAATCACTACAGAGCATCAACCACAATGATTTTTTATTAATAACTTCAATTTTTTAGTAATGGGAAATGGATTAAAAAATTATTCTAATTAATCCCTGAAATTGAACATTGAGATACAGACTCTAGATGCAGTACTAAAGAGGCAAATCCAGCACCTTTTCCAATCAGGGCAATTCACTATCGTAATAATTTCATGATGACAATCTTCTTTAACAATTTGTGTAGACAAAATCCAGTTGAAAAATTATCAACAAATTAACTCACTTGCACCTCTAAGATCAATAGACAACCATAGTTCAATGACAGCCAGATCACGAGTTCAAAAAAAAATGGTGAACAGAAAGACAATAAAAATAAAGAGCAGGTAGTGAAAACTAATAAACTATTTCAAACATGCCTGAAGCTTCTTTGCGATGGCCAAGAACGGCTGCACGTCTCCTCTTGTTCCAACAACAAGTATTGCAATGTTCAGCCTTGGAATCAATTTGATGGACTCAGGAATGATGTCATCAACTTTGGGAGATGACCCTTTCAAGGTAGGATGAAGCTTCAAGAGTTCTGAAGCAGCAGGGGCATTTTTCTCTATATCAACTTCTACAGTCCCATCATGTTGTATCTTTACCAGATCTGCAACTAATTGTTTCTGCCAGCCAACAGAGATATTAAACATTGAATCAAAGCATATCTAAACTAGAGCAAGGAACATGGAGCAAGTACGAAAAAACAATAAAAAAGCAAAAATGTCTATATTTTCCTTCAGAAACACCAAATCACGAAATTAGGCTCAAGGATAGAGGCATCTTCCACCTAGATAATTACAAGGATTACAAGAATAAGCCACTAAACATGTGAAATAAGTTATAAAGAAACGTCTAGGCACACTTATCATTATGCATGATGAACCAAGCATATCAAGCACTAGATGCATGAGCTCAAGTTTTTTAATGAGAACATGGTATTCTAATAACTACCTCTTTATCCCCTGACAATTCATCAAATTTGAAGTCAGGCCTCTGTGTACCTATCCACTCAGTCATGGATATGAAAAAAGTGACGTTTTCCTCCTCTAATAGTAGACTTCTTCTACTGCTGATAGGTGCACTAACACACTGTTCCTATAAGTGGGGATACCTAGCGCCCTCAATTTATGAAGGAAATGGCTTTCCAAGCAATCTAGCCTCCAAGTGTCGAGCACATTTTATTCACATTGTGGTGGATCATTACACAGTCATTAGAATATGATTGCAGAGGACTGGTGTAGTAAGTTCCTTGCAAGTGGAGAAAATCCAGATTTTTTTTGTGGAGAGTCGAGTAAATCACTTATCGTGCTTCGCTCGCTTTATCACTGACATGATAGTGCGTTTCTCTACTGTCTGTATCCTCCATATGCCGCAGTGCTCTGTGAAACATGACACTTTTATGTTCCATCTCAACCAATTGCAATTAGCAGTCTAAATTTCAAGTGTTAAAGAAATAACAATGATGCAACATTTTTCTAACTAATTTGCAAGTAAAGATCTCAGACGTCCAAAGTAAGATATCAAGATGACCATAAAGATGCAGTTGCCATATGGGAAAAAAAAAACAAAATAAAGCAAGTTCTTGGAGGTGCAGCCAAATTAAATTGTTTAGTTCCAATTCTCAGCACAGCATTTGAAAATTTAGCTACTGTTGTCAGATGTCCTAGGATACAAATATAATTAGTAACAAAAATTTCAATGATTTCATTTTTCTGAAAATGTCACTAGATACTCTAGAAAAGATCATCCAGAGAAAAAGTTATACAAATTGTTTGAAATATTGGATACCAAGTAAAACATTCTTCAAGTAATCCCAGAATAATCATTATTAGTCATTATTTTCATGCAACATGATATTAGTAGATTTACACTAACATGAAAATTATTCAGCACCTGAATATTATAATTTTTACATAGCAAAGTGCAAATAAATGAAATAATTATAGACACATAAAAAAACAAAATAAAAATAAAAATAAAAAACGGTAGAATACATGAAGTCCAGAACATGGACGACCAGAAGCTTATATGTTAACAACTTGCTGACAGGAAAATTTTACGAACGTGTTGTTATCGATGGTCACCAATTATCAAGGTCAACACTTTGTGTTGTAGGCAATATAACAATAATATCCTTGGAAGGCCAAAAGTTTGAGTTTAACGAGTAGGATTGGGGACTATACGCTTTAATCAATTGAATTGTGCTCAAGTTGGCAACACCTAAAGTTAAGTTTGAGGCCTACTGTATTTGAAGAACTCTTAATGACCTAGGACTTCTACTATACATTAAGTATTACACATATATATATAACAAACTAATTTCATCAAAGCGTGATCAAGCAATTCACATGAACTATTTCTTAGTACTTAAAATATCAACTCAATGTGATAGTTTCGATGTTCAAAATATATGTAACCATAAAGAATAGTAGAACTTGAGATTGCTGTACACTGACCTCTTGAAGTAGAGGAACTAACATTCTTGAACTCAAGAGACTAGAAGATCTCAAAAATTGATAATTGATGAATTGGATAATTTCAACTGCTACACATAGATTCTGAGTAAAAAATTTCACGCAAATGCTTGCTAACTAAAGGCCCACGTGCACCCTTGGCCACAAGCACATCCTTCTTCACTCCTAGGCTGCTAGTGCTAGCTCCCTCTGCCAATTTTTCAGAAGCATGGTCAAATTCAACTTTGACACAGTTAAGAACGCCCTAAATAGAAGAAACCCACAATCCCAGAAGTCACAATCAACATTATTAAAGTCCCAAATCATTAAATTAAGCACACTTTGAGCTGGAAACAAAAGAGAATAGCATGGGTACTTCGCAGCTAAGACTAGCAAACCTCATCTAATGCGTACACGAAAGTTCATGGTGCCTATTTTAAACCAACCCGCCAATATTAGCGACCAAAAACATGGGAAAGGAAAACTAACCCACTACACAGCCAGTGAAGAACTCACACGAGCTGCGCCTTAGTCTCGAAACTCTCGGCAAAAGAACTATAGAGATACACAGAAAACCAACTCCGAGAAGCAGGACAGGGACAGGGATTAAGCACAGATATTGGCGCCATACAAGTCAAAGAAATCCATTTGAACGTAAGAATTCTGCTTTCGTAATCGCTTCCCTGATTAAACAGATAACAGGACCAGAATTTAATGGAATTTAAGGCACCCACGGAGGATTATCTCTTTTCGTCTAGCTCTATGCGTCTCTGGTACTGAAACTATGGCTCCAAAACGAACCCAATGAACTGAAACCCGCAATTAAGCTTCGTAATGGATCACGTGAAACATGATTTCGCCAACTGTTTGGCGCTTGAAGAAAAAAATGAAAACTCAAATGTCGGCCAAAGTGAATCAGAATCGAAAATTGAGGTGCAATTTCTATCGTCGTCCTCTAGGTAATCGACCCCTAACTTTTCCCCCTAAATATTTTCACTTCATCTTTATTTTTATTTATTTTTTCCATTTAATTCTTTTTTTTTTTTTTTAACTCAAAACACAACTTAATCATTTAATTTATACCATTGAATTAAGTAAATATAAATGAATATTTTATGAATACCAATTCGTTTATAAGTCTCGTAAATTTATTTTTTTATTTTTAAAAATAATCTACCTTTCTAACTTAAAAAAATATATAAATATTTTAGTTTATTTATGTATGATAGCAGGTAATCTATACATCATTTCAAATCAATTAAACTTTAATTTAATTTAGCACGATTATCATTGTTAATTTGAAATTAATTATTTATTAATTTAAGTAATCGCCAAATAGTCAAATATTTAAAATTTAGTAGCTAGTTGTTAATATCAAAATTAATTTAAATATAATTTATGGATTTTTTAAATGTGTACCAAACAAATTATGTATTATTTGTGGGTTTGGTAAATAAATTAAGAAATTATATTTGTTTTAATAATACAATGGGTAATAAATTTTTTAAAAAGAATTATTATTTAAACTTTTAAAAATTATAAATATTTTTTTAAATAAAAGTAAAGTTTAGAAGTATTTTCTATTTTTATTCTATAAGTAACGCTAATAATATTCGATAAGTATTTATTTTATTTTTACTAATATAGACGTCATTTTCTTAATTATTGCTGCTCGCATATTCCACTCTAAAAATTATTGTAATAGCAATTATAAGCCCAACCAACAATAATAAATTGTGTATTATTTATTGAATTTAATTTTGATATGAATAGATATGACAAATAAATTGTACCTTTAAATCTAATTTTAATATTTAAACCGATCTTAAATTTTAAAAAACATAAATTCATTCTCACCTTACTTTATTGTAATATGAAAATGTAACGGCTCAAGTTTATCGTCAGTAGATATTATCCATTTTAGTCTATTATTGTTGGTCTTATAGTTTTACTTTTATAAGGAATGCTTCGTTTTTTTCTTCGACTAATATGGGATCTAACAATCTACCCGTTGGGGGCCAGTGGTCTGTAATGTATCGTTGTCAGTCTCACAGTTTTATGAAATGTTTCGTTTTCTCCTCCAATCGATGTGGGATCTAACAATCCACTTCTTTAGGCGCCAGTATACTCGTTAGCACATTGTCCTCATTTGGTACCATTTATAATACAGTTCAAACCCATTACTAGAAAATACAGTTCCTTTTAGCTTATTAAGTAGAGTCAGTCTCAGTCTCAGTATGAACTTCACGCGCTTTCAGTCGCCATCTTTCTTCCTGTCTGCCCTCGCCCAGACCAAAACCAACCACCATAGGCCAAAAAAACAGGAAGCGATCAAAACAAAAACCTTGACGCGCACAATCCAAATCGATAGAGGAAACCATAAATTCTTCCCAAATTTTGTTTTTGTCTCTAGAAAGATTCCCACTCGAGTTTCGAGAGAATCTCTGCGAATTCCTTGCCTATTTTGACGAACATAATGGCATCATACAAGCTCCTGGCATCTTCCAATTCGCGAAATTCGGATCTATTGCGAGGTTCTTCTTCTTCTTCTTTCTCTTCTGCTTCTCTTTTAGAATCCCAATTTCTTTCGAATCACCTGAGGAATAATGACATCCCAACTCGCAATCAAAGCCATAGTCGTAGCTCAATGACCGTCGATGGCTTACTTGGCAATGGGTACGATTCCAATCCCACGGAGTCGTCCATTCTCTTAGATGCCCAGATTACTCTTGTTGATTCCCATAACCCTTCTTCTCTTCCCATGAATACGACTACAGCAACCACCACCACCACCACCACCACTAATTCCTCTGCCGTCATTGATAGCAATCACAATACTTCCTCCGGTGCGGCGCCCAAAACTGTGGATGATGTGTGGAGGGAGATTGTTTCTGGTGAGAGGAAGGAGTTGAAGGAGGAGGTTCCTGACGAGTTCATAACCCTCGAGGATTATCTCTTGAGAACTGGGGTCATGCCTGTTGAGGATGTCAAATTGCCGCAGACGGAGAGGCTGAGTGGAGGGATTTTTTCGTTTGATCCAATTCGAGCCAGCACATTTCAGGCCTTGGATAAGGTCGAAGGATCCATTATTGGATTTGCTAATGGGGTCGATTTGATCGGTAGTGGAGGAAGTGGGGGGAGAGGCAAAAGAGGGCGAGCTGCTTTGGAACCTTTAGATAAGGCTGCAGAGCAAAGACAGAGGAGGATGATCAAGAATAGGGAGTCTGCAGCAAGATCAAGGGAACGGAAGCAGGTGACTGAATCTGCTCTTTATAAACAACTTCCATTTCCAAATTCTTGTTTGATTCTATATTTTGGTGTGATAAAGTGTCTGCTAGTATACTTTTGAACTTTTTTGGTTTTGGGATCTCAGGCTTATCAAGTGGAATTAGAATCATTAGCTGTAAGACTAGAGGAGGAGAAGGAGCGGCTTTTGAGGGAAAAGGTACTCTTTCCCCCACCACCCCCAAATATTCATACATATGAGAACATCTTTCTGATTCAATTTTCTATTGCACTGGATTTGGGATCTGTTTATTTTATTGCTTGCATTCGTTTTAATTGCGTGTGGAAGAAAGTTGCTTGAGAATTTGTAAGACGAAGCTGCGAGACCGATAGGGAGAGGGGCTAAGTGGTCAGGGCGCCCCCATTTGAATTGAGAACCTCATGTAGAACGTATCACTGAGATTGCTTTTCTTCTTATGCAAGCTACAAGCTATACATTTTTTTGATCCAGAGAGACCTTATAATATGTTGGACCCTTGGCTTTTCTTCCTCCATTTGATTCCTTTTTTCTTTTGGTATTTTCCTTATCCTTGAGACCTCCCTGAAGTTTCTCTTTATCAATTTCACTCCAGTTCCCTGTTTTTAGTTTCCAACAACAACAAACTAGGATATAATTTAAACACATTGGTGCGATGAATTTCTATCATGTTATTGAATCAATAATTCATCATCCTTGCGGTTTATGTCTTTCAGCTCGATCTAACTACAATTGGGCTGCATCAAATCTTTTTTCTTATGTTAATATTTTTGTTATTAGTTTATATATTAGATCATAAGCCATTTTACAGCAGTGCATACTGAATAATCATTTGTTTGATTAGGACTAATGCTGGATCATTTTCAATCAAACTTATTATTTAGTGCCGAACATTCTTGGTTTGCTGTGTTCGGAGGCGTAATTAAAGTAGGATTAAAATTGGTGATTAAGAGCTTAAAATTCTTGATAAAATCCAATTAGCTTGGCGGTAATTGGCATGATTGGAGGTTAAAATCCTCATTTGCCACTTATTGTACTGAAAAAAAAGTGTTGCCTTTCTCTTTCATTTTGTTTTGATGGTTCTGCGCTGAGTTGTAGATCTTTAAACTTGTAGCCATGTAAACAGAAGACTGTTGTCTGTTTGTAGTTGTGTTGATTACATATTAGCGTTTCATAATTATCTCTCTTTTGCAGGCTGAGAGGACTAAAGAGAGGTTCGAGCAGGTATTGATTTAAACTTTGATCCTAGTGTTATTCTGTAATGAAAGAGTTTTTGTGTTGAATATTATCTTATCTTTCAGCCCTCTTGTTGATTAAAAATTCTGTTGTTGAAAAGTGACGAAAAATTCTGTATGGACAATCTCCATCGTCTAGCCTTCTTTAGATTTCTAATTTTTCTTAGAAAGAACTTTATAGTACATCGTAGGATAACTAGCGTTCATTAGAAACTTGAAAGCCACAATATCCTTCACTACAAGTTTTGATTATTCACTGGCTAAAAAGAAAGGTCTTAGTTATTCCCAAAAATAAAAAAGAAAACAGTTCAGTGAGCTTCATCAAGTGCTGCAATATCAAGGTGTTCTGGACGTTGAATAAGAGATTAATATTATGCTGCTTCCTACATAAATTTGTTTTGATTTAAGAAGTCGTAATGTAAGATTCATCTATATATAGTTTGCAAAATTAAGGCTAAGTTTGGCCTTTAGTATAATACTGACGATGCAAGTTTTTGTAGTTTAGGGGGGTTCAAAGCAAATGATGTCGGTGTCGTTGATTTGATTATTGGTTCTTTCTTTTTGGGGTTTGCATATATTTACGATTATTGGTTCTTTCTTTTTGGGGTTTGCATATATTTACTTAGGTGTGAGATCCCACATCGGTTGGGGAGGAGAACAAAGCATTCTTTATAAGGGCATGGAAACCTCTCCCTAGCAGACGCGTTTTAAAAACCTTGAGGGAAAACCCGAGAGGACATGCTAGCGGTAGGCTTAGGGCTTTTACATAGGGTCTATTTGAAATGTGTGATGTCCCACATTGGTTGGGGAGGAGAACAAACCACCATTTATAAGGGTGTGGAAACCTTCCCCTAGCATATGCGTTTTGAAGCCTCGAGGGGAAGCCCGAAAAGGAAAGCCCAAAGAGGACAATATCTGCTAGCGGTGGATCTGGGTCGTTACAAAATGACTTTCATCAGAGTATTTTTAACCATTTAGAAAGTCGTTCCAAACCGACCCTTATTAATTTAAAAACTTTTATGCATATACTTGTCTTATAAATTTGACAAACAGGGGCTCATCTGTTTGCTCAATGTTTTGGTTTTGATTATACGGTGACAAGTCCAAAGTTAAACTACATCATAGGTATTTACATGGTAATGATATATCCCGGTCTGATTTTTTCCTGGCGCAGCTAATGGAGAAGGTGATTCCTGTGGTTGAAAAGCGACGACCCCCACGAGTAATTCGGCGAGTTAATTCCATGAAATGGTGAACTATTGATTTTCCACAAGACAGGTTCAACAGACAAGGAAACCTGTAGGAGAAAGAAGAAGAAGAAGCAGAAGAGATAGACGGCATAGTATTAGGAGTTATTGAAAACACATTCTTTGCAGCTGATGATGGCTGAGGAGCATCAGAGCATCAGAGCATCAGAGGTGTCTGCTGCAAGCAAAAATGCCGGCGATCACAATCCTTTTACCAAACAACAGATTAACAGAGACAAAACTAACACAGGATACATGAGAGAAGATGATGATTTATAGGCTACAAAACTTTGAGGTACTCAGCTCTCTGTCTCATTTTCTGTTTTTTGTTCAATGCATGAGAGAGTCAAAGAGGAAGAAGTTGAGTTGAGTAGCAATTTAAAGCATTTTTTCAATGGTTTTGTTGGATAGAGGAAATTTGTTATAATAGTTGGTAGTGTAGTTTGGTGATATTAGAGGTATATCATTTTTTTTCCCTCTTAATGTTATGTTTTTTAGTTAAGAAAAGACTATTGGTGACTGTACTTTCATGTAATTAAGAATATGGTATAGTAATAATTTAGTCTATACTACAGTATTTAATCTATATAGTTTATGACATTATAATTTTTACTATAAAGTATTTTATATGCATTGAACGTCTTTTATTGTTTCAAGTTTTTATATAGTGTGACCATTTTTAAATGTCTCTAAAGAATAAAATTATTGGTTCGAATTTTGAATAAAAATAATGAAATGACGATAACTTAGAACGATGTGACTTGAGTAGAAATTAGTTAGAATTTAGGGTCTGACAATAACCTAAAACGGTCTTAATTTGACTCTCTGAATAGCTACCAATCATATTAATAAAGATTTTTTTCGATTTTAGTTGAAATCTTATTATTGAAATAGTTATGCCATAAGACTTATTTAAATACACTTATTAATATAAATTATAGACATATTGAAACAAAATAGAGAGCATTTGTCACAATCACACTTTTGTTGCAACAAGACAGCGATTACGAGACACTTATTCTAACTCAACAAATAAGTGACCAGTGTTGTAAAAATCAAACTCTATAAATCGACTGAATGTATGATTGAGCCTCGAATTACCTTAAAATCGAATGAAAATATGTATAGATTATTAACCATGGAAATTATCAATCTTTTGAATTTTAATTAATTAAGCCAAAGATTATGATAAAATGATTTGTTTCAAACATATATGAAAATGGTCAAGATTCCACGAGCATGCACATTACACACAGCACTTTATCATTTTCTTTTTTAAGATTTTAATATTTAATATCAGATAGGGCCAAAAATTCACCAACAACAAGAAATCCTGAGAATTCAATTCCTAGGAAACATCTATTTTTATTTTTTATTATTTACTTTTGCAGCAAATGATAAATAATAATTAATAAATGGGTTAGGGATCAAATTAATCTAAATCCTCTTTTCTCATCTCATTTTAGATTACTTAATTTCAAGGCTAAAATTCAACTTAAAATAACTTTTTATTAAAAATATATAAATGAAATGCTTTTTTTTTTTTTTTTTTGGGTTATTAAAAAATATAAAATTAATGGAAAAGGGAAAGAAAACATAAAATAATGCCCAAAAAATGCATCAAAGTATGAGCATCATGAGCTTTGTGTAAAGCAAAGATTAGGTAATCTATAAACAAAGAAAGGTAGAGATTTCAAGAAAGGAAAGATAAAGATAACATTATATTATATCATATGGTTTTAAAAGATTAAATAAAAGTCTTGAAAATGAGGTAATCATTTAAGAATAATAATCCCCATCATCACTCCTTACACCCACTCGAACCTTTTATTTATATATGTATATATTGAGATTGTACGAGTATTTGTTCTTGCCAACTTAGGTCGTCGTTGGTCCGGAAGACACATGCACAAGCCTCTAACCCCCTCTTAGAAAAGAGCTTCTAATGACAGAATTTTGAAAAACGTTTGAAAAGCAATGTTATCCACTAGCAAACAATAAGCAACAATGACGACATTAATAACATATAACTCAAATAAGAAGAATTGACAATTAGTTTTATCCCCCGTAACACATTTTGAAACAAATACCCCAATGTCGTGGTTCTTAGCCACGTGCTCTAATCCCCTGAGCTACAGGCCTCACCCCGTTCCCACTGGATCTATTCTCGGAATACCCTAGAAAAAAGTAACATTTCCTCTCGCGCCTCTTTCTCTATCAGAACGATAAACGTCTTAAATACTAAAATTGAGAAGTACTTTAGGATTAAAACGTTATCTAAGTTGAAAAAAAAGGAAAAGGAAAAGGAAAAGTTCCGTTGCGGTGTTGTTGATGCTCAATTTCTCTTCTTTTTCTTGGAATTTCTATGGCTGTTTTTCCACAAACCAAAATCATTACAACTTTTACTGTATAAAAAAATGCATAAAGTGCACATTCTTCAACATTTTGTCTGTCATCCATTCAAAGCTTTTGCAATGGCAGAGCCCCCAACACTTACTGTCATTTCCACTTCACCTTCTTTCCTTTCTCTCTCTGTTTTCAGAACTCCAAGTTTCAGAAGAACTGAAAATTTAAGAACATTTCTTAAGGAAGATGAAGATGAAGACGAAGATCCATTTATTAGTGGTTGTGTTCTTCGGCTTTCAAGCGTTGTTGATTCAGCTTTGTTGCTCCTCTGCTACCATTGTTGTTGATGGAGTTTCACAATGGAAGAATCCCTCTGTTCATATTGGAGATTCCATCGGTAAGTACTTTGAAATATATTAATGTTGTCTTTTTTTGAATGTCTTGCTCTGTTTTCTGAATCTTTTTGCCTTTTTTCTTTGGTTTGTTCTTAGTTTTCAAGCACAAGTTTCATTATGAGCTCTTCATTTTCCATAATCAAAGGGCTTTTGATCTCTGCAATTACACTCATGCCACACTTCTCAGCAAACCCAATTCCACTGTATTCATGGTATCTCTCTCTCTCTATCTCTATCTCTTTTTTTGAGTTCAAACGTCGATGTATCGAGTCCAAGTCGATGGTAGATGTCTAAACCGATTGAGTTATGGTCGGGTTGAGGGAAGGAACTTGAATTGATCGTTCTTAGTAGGGCTCATTCCTCCATTTTTCTATGTGGGGTTTACAAAGTTAGTGGAAATTTGTCATTTTTATCCAAATTCCTATATGGGTTTTGAGTTTTCCACTCCTTTTTAGTGGAAAATGTTCTTCTTTCCCCAAATTTCCATCTGGGTTTTGAGTTTTTGATCGGATATCTCTGTTTTTGAACTTTAAAACTCAGTGGCATCCATCACGGCTTGGTGTTTTCTTCTTTGCTTTCAACAACGGCTCTAAAAGCTCCTGCAATGGCTCTCAAAAGCTTGCTGTGAAGGTCACTGATTCAGCCCCACCTCAAAGTTCCCACCTTTCTCCACATAACCCACCAATGGCAGCCCCAGCACCGATTTCCGGCGGAGTTCTGCCGTCCACTCCGGCTTACCCTTGGCCGTTTCACCCTCGGCAGGGAGCGCCGTCGCCGAGTCTCCCTCCGAGTGAAAGTTTGCCTCTGACAGTGCCGGAGAAAGGTGGAAGTCTGCCGTTTATCAATAGTAATCCAGCGGTTCCACTACCCACCGGCGAAGTGGACACTGCCACTATTCGCCCGTTGCCAACTTCAGACCATGGAACACATAGGGTACCGTCTCTCTCTCTCTCTCTCTCTCTCTCTCTCTCTCTCTTCATAGGGCTAAAAAGGTCATTTCAAGCTTATTCATTTCTCGTTCTAATTACTCTTAAAAACCTGAATTTAATTACCATAAAGTTCAAATCTCCATATTTCAACTAACCAATAGTAATAATAAACAATACCCAAATTTTGTTCTTCAAAAGTAACTTCTATGTCACTGTTAAAAAGTTGACAATTAATGGTTATTTTCCAAAAAAATTATCCTTCTTTATCGAATATAAAAAAAATTGGGCCAAAGTCAAAAAGAGAAAAGGTAATGCTTGATTGAAGGAGGAGGGGGCATGAAAGGGGAAGAGAAATGGGTGTGGGTTAATTTTATGGCATGATGATGAACTTTTTACCCTTCAATTACTGTCTTTCATGATTGGGATTTCTTGCTAATGCAAATCTCTTTGTATGTCAAAATTCAGGCAATCATGGGCTTTCCTCTTCCACTTAAATTGGCTCTAATTTCAACCTTATTCTTGTTGCAATAAACAAAACAAAAAAAAGGAGAGATTTTTAGGGTTTAGGGTTTAGGGTTCCTTAGATGTGATGATTTTGGGGGGTTTTTTCCCAATTTTTGTGTAAAAAAAATGATGATGCTGTGGTTGATGATGATGAGATATAATCAAATCAATGCATTTGGATGTTATATTTAATATTAAATTTTGGCATATGCTCCTTTAGCTATATGAAACTTCTCTCTCCCACTTGGATAATATATTTTAAAAGTAACATTATGATGTTGGCCATATTTATGTGTCTGTGAGCCTATTGTAATGGAGAGGGCAGGTAATGAAACAGGTTGTATATGTCCTTTCTTTTGCTTTCGGCTGGATTAATGTTATTTCAACCTTAAATGGGTTAAGTTGGAGGTTAGAACAAATACGTAATCTTCGAGATGTTCTAAGTTTAGGTTTTTTTATGGTCACGGGTGACCCAACCCGACTTGTGTATTTAACTCAAATCCATGTTTGATGGAACCGGTTGATGACATGATTACATAATTGATGGTAGGTCTTGAGTACTCCATTAGTGTTTCTAGAGATTTGATCCTCTAACCTTGAGTAAAGAAGAATATCTCTATTACCGTTTGATCGGCCTAGCCATGGGCGGTGGATTAAATGGACACTAAACCGTGTCATCATAGTTGCAATGAATGTCCTACCTATATATATCTCTTCCTTCTCTCTTTTCAATAATGGTGGAAATGGACTTTGAAATACTCCTCCAATCAATCCCGATAGTCCGTTCTTCACCTTGACATGATCAGACATTCAAGCTAGCAAATTAAATCATGGGTTCTCATTAAGAGTGGCACGTGAATCGCGAGCTATTCTCACTTTGACATATTCTTCTTGTTCGAATAATTTCTATAGTTGGTCAAGTTTGAACAGTACACAAGTAGGTTAGGTAGGGAAACCTATCGTTCGGTGTTTAAAGGATTTCTAGTTGAAGTTAGGTATCGTTTCGAGCCAACGTCTAAAAATTTAAAAGCAAAGAACATAATAAGCTTTCGATCTTTTCCCTAATTCTCCATTATATCTCATCCATGGAGATGCTATTTGCATAGGGCCAAATCCCAGGTCAATGCTATTTGCATAGGTACACAACAGGGAATAGTAGCTCAAAATTATGGATGAAATTATTACAAAGCTCTATTATTAACAAGTAATGAGTCATTTTCCTCGAGGGGTCATCTTACATTGGCTTATCGTCTAATAATTTGGTTCGTGATTATTGGCGAGAACTTATTGTAGGTCACCTAGGCAAAACGCTCCAACCATAGGCTCGCGATACATACAAAGTTCATTAAATTCCGGGTCTAAGAATCTTTCAAGATTCTGAATGAATGGTCAACTTTATAAACATAAAACCCCAGGCGTCTTTTCATGCTGAAAGGATATGATTTTTTGGTGGGTGGCTCTACTCCTTTATCATGAAAAGAATATCATGAACTAATGGTTAGCAGAAAAGAGTGAGTTAACATCAAAGATGATGAAGAAAGGGACCCTGTCCCATGATTTGTAGGGGGCCGTAGCCAGTTCATCAACTGAGGAGAGGATGATAAGGGCTACCCCAAAGGGTAGAATCAATGAGGAATAGAAGAAACCAGAATTCCCAAGATGTCAAAACCCTATAAAGCTGAGTGGCCTAAATGGGGTTCAATAAAATGTCAACTTTTATCAGAAGGGATCCTATGGACAGCAGAAATTCCAGCACTAACAAGAATTGAGTGAAGGTTTGATTACAATGAATAGTAGAAGTCAAACTCTACCAAAACAACGACCTCGGTCGTCGGTGGAATTCGATATAGGTTCGAATTTCACTAGTCGAGAAAGATTGAAAAGATTGTACTTCAACAACAACCAGCACCATAGAAAAAGATGGAGGATTTTAGATATCGTGCATTGTAGAAGTCAAACTCTAGAAAAGGAAGGACACCTTGGTGGAATTTGATGAGAATTTCTTGACTTAACCAGCTCCACAAATAATCTAATGAAGTTTAAGTAACAGTACACACAGACATACTAGAAACACAAAACAAAGCAAGGCAGAGGCAGAAACACAAAGAAATGGCAGCAGTGAAATCATTCCAAGAGGCAGAAATAAAACAGACAAGGATACGAAGAGCCAGACAAGGGCCATTAACTGTATTGTGCACAGAAGGCCTTACCTCCATCCTTGATGACGAACAAAGCGACTGAAAGCTCCAGCTCCCCCTCCTTGTAAGAGCCCAAATCCACCGTAAGCAGATATTGCCCTCTTTGGACTTTCTCTCAAAGTTTTTAAAACGCATCCACTAGAGAGAGATTTCTACACCCTTATAAAGAATGTCTCGTTACGTCTGGAGTAACTTTAGGATTAGCACTGTAAAAAAGGTGTTGGGGAGAAAGGAGACAGTCAAACCGAAGAAGATAAAGTCCAAACATGTTGGTTAGGACAATTTTTCCAAGTTAAATTTAGACTTTGACTAAAAGTGTAGGAATAAATCTTACCATTATTGCTGACCAAGTAGTCAACCTCTTTCTCTTTCCTTCAAGGGACAACATCCACGAACTTGGCAGATCCTGCGGAAGACCAAATCAAGATCAGATCTCTGTAATAAACTAACCAGTAAGCTTATCAATTTGTCAAAGCTTCCACCCAAGCCATTAAAATTCTGTCAGTAACAATTTTCAATGGTGACAGACAAGGAACATGACAGGCACCTCAAAGTGTAAAATCTGGACCACCATATCCTCCATTGTAGCCACAGACCAGAGTGGTGCAGGATAATTTCTCCCACCCTATGGGGCAGCATTCATTCATCTGGTCAGAAACAAAAAATTGCGAGTTTGTTCGAAAAAACACATCCATTCATCACTAATTCAAAGGAAAAAGAAAAAAAAAACAATGGGTATGACAAAAGGGGCTGGTCAAGATAGAAGAAGACACCTTTGAAAAAGTAATTTCCCAAGATGAGTGTTCCACTTGAAAAGAGTTCCTTCCTTTCAGTATATCAAAAGGTCATCCAGACTTATCATAACAGGCGAGGACAAGAACTCTAAAATTTTCTCACAATTTTTCTTAGAACGAACAGCGAGAGAACACTAATCTAGTGTCGAAAGAAACAAATGAGACAATTGACAGTAATGTCATATTTTGCAGCAGAATTAGAACAAAACATGGACCAACAGACAACTTTGTAAGAATGAACAATACATGTCAACAATGGGCTGATAAATATGGCATTTGTGAAACAATGTGACATTACCAAGGCCACCAGATGGAGAAGATCCATGCCAATGTTTCCATATCCAAATTTCTTTACACAATATACGCTGAGTAAATAAATACAAAGAGTCCCCTCACCACTTTATAACCTTCACTCTCTTCTTCATATTTTCATCCTCTCTTCTTTCTCTTATTCCTAGAAACCATGAAAATCAAAGTAGAACATGTTCTGAAATTCCAACAATTCTATTCAGAATGATTCGCTCGTCCCAACGAGTCAAGCCCTTCAGTCCTGCTGCGAACAACCCTGTGAAAAGCTTCCCTGACCTGCCGTTCCAATGAGTCTAATCCAAAGAGTGATTTTGCTTTGTTCTGAAATTCCAACAATTCTATTCAGAATGATTCGCTCGTCCCAACGAGTCGAGCCCTTCAGTCCTGCTGCGAACAACCCTGTGAAAAACTTCCCTCACCTGCCGTTCCAATGAGTCCAATCCAGTCCTCAGAGTATTACAAACCGTAGTTAGCTCTTGCACTCTCTCTCTCAGCTCTGCTTCTTTCTCCTCGGCCAATGGGAACTGAGCTGTGTCGGCCAAATCATTCATCAGACGCGTGCACTTTTCAATCTGATGAATCTCCTTCAACAGCCCACATGAGTTCCTTCGATCTCGCTTCTTGGACTCCTCCACAATTCGATCATGCAGTTGAAGGATTGGAACCGCCCATGGGAAGTTTCGGGACAAAGAGAAATGAACCTGCAAACCCCGATCCTGGCAAGGAATAGCCGCCACCAACGCCCACATTACAAACAATAACACCATGTTCATGGTAAAGATAGGAACTGCAAGCCCATTTGTAGCCAAAAGCTCAGTCGCTTTAGGGGCCGCCAAATTGTTACCAATCGATTGCAGCTGCCTGGCGGCCGACCACGATCGTGAAACGCTCCACGAGAGCGATCGGAAGTGGCCCAATGACCGTGGATCCTTCGAGGCATTGTTCCGTCCGAAAGAACGGTTGCGGTGGGCTATAGCAGAGGCATGCGAATCTTTCTCATCAAGCATACAAATAGCCAAATCGACGAGGGCCTTCTTGGCGCGACGAAATTGACCCTCGCCAAGAGTCTTCTGGTGATTACAATTGTCCAACGCACTTAGAACAATCTCCAAAAGCTTCTGCCATTGCCGGAGCTGCTCAATCCCATCACGAATCGCATTACACACATCAAGCGCCTTGACGGTTCTCTCCGAGTAATCAGCAACCAAACGGTCCAAAGGGGGCTTAGAGATTTGAGATTTGTGGTTGATGAGAACGAATTTAAACTCCTCCTGACAGCACAAGAAGGAATCCAGGAGCTTCTGAACCCATGATAAGGAAAGCAACTCATCAGGACCAACCGAGGCAAGGTCCATGAACCGTTCAGCAACTTGCCTCTGAAAGGAGTCAAGATCCTGCTCCTGAGACGTCGGAGAACCATCCATTGCGTAAAGCTGATCTCGCCGAATACTCTGAACCGAACGTCCAATGTTGGTACAAGCAGCCGACGAACCCTGATAATCTGTAGCTGGCATCCTCGCACAGAGAAACTCCTTTTTCACATATCACGCACCAGAAACCCTAATCGCCAAATTCCTCAATCAAACAAACGAAATTAAATACGTCGATCGATAATCAATCAATCAGTCAATCAATCCCCTTTCACCAAACCAAAATTCAGATCTCCAAAATGGATTTCCCCCCAAACTCAATTCAACGCCACACCCAACACCCACTCGGCTAAATCAACGCCAAAATTTTGAAACCCAGATCCAAATTCCACCATTCAAATCGAAGAACAGAGCTTAGAGGGAAACAAGGATCGAAAGAGAGAGAAAAATGGCGAATGAATTGAAAATTTTTAGAAACGGCGACGATAGATGATGACGATGAGAGAATGTTGGATAAACAAAACCTAGGGGACACCCCTTTTATTGGGAGAACTGACGACCGCGTGTCTCTATTCGGCAGTAGAAACAGACGACCGCGTGTCCTAGTTTTTTTTTTTTTTTTTTTTTTTTTT